CCATAAAAATGTATTTATTTTCAAATAAAAAAATCTTCCTGGATCACTATACCTCAGATCCTTCACCTCATTCCAATACATACACACAATTACACCCCATATTATACCTATTTTTAAATTTCCTACTGCACTATTCCATAGTCACTGTGCTTCAACAAGTGAGTTTGGTTTATTTCTCCTCAGCTTGGCCTTTTAAGATTATTTCCCTTTCTTTGTAATTTTAATCTTAGCATATATAATTTATGAATGTCAGATAATTTTGTTAAGACATCATAATCTTCTGTGTTTAAGCCAGCATACAAATAAGTAAAAATTGAGAAACTTTGTACTGAACGAACTCTATCTTAAAGTAATTCAGAGATTAGTTTGAGATTAGGGCTCTGGTATACCTCAAAAATAAGCCAGCTCTTCATTTAGTGGGTGCCTGTCAAGCGCTCTGAAATGTAGGGAAACAGAATACAGCAGTATCGAGTTGAGTATCTTGTAACTCCATCCCCATATGTGTAGTGTGGTAGTTTAAGTGATATTACATCCATCACCTGACATTCTATGTTGACTCAATAAATAAGATGCTTTTGAGAAAAAGTGTTATCAATCAATTGCTTTATACTTTAACAGCATGACATAAAATATTTCAAAAGTTATTTCATCTAAGCTGGTTGTGGTAGCAAATACTTGGACTCCCAGCATTCTGTGAGGCTGATACCTGAGGGTCCTGATTTTTAGCCCCAGCCTAGGCAATTTAGTGACTTAGTGAGGCCCTGTCTTGAAATACAAAATAAAAACAAAGGCTGGAGATGTAGCTCAGTTCAAACACCCTGGGTTCAAGGTCCACTACAGGGAAAGAAATTCCATCATTGGAGGTGCAGGAAGACCGAAACAAACAAATATTTCCAACAACTGTGCAGACTCAATTGTTTAACTCTCTGAATTCTTTCACTAAATTCTAACACTCTTCAAACAGAAAATTGGAAACATGTTTTCATATTTTTATTCACTTAATTGTACATGTTGTATTTCCATGTTCTAAATTGCTATGGCTGTATTTTCGCTTGTTTCTGTAATAGTATACAAAAGTTAATTAAATGAGGGTGCAGTTATCTTTTGCTGCTCATCAAACGTGTAAAGTCTTGGTCTAAAAATTATTTAGGTTGCAAAAAGAAGAAAATGACATAGACTTAATGAGCACACGCTGGCTCCTTAAACCCAGATAAACAGGGTACGTAGAATGCCTTCGTGTGAGTGATGGAGGTAATCCCTGAGGACAACATTCAGAGTCTGGAACTTCCCCGGGTGACTATTCAACTTTAAAACAAGCAGTCCTCTAGCTTTAGTTCATTTAGTATAAAATATTTTAAGGAATTTATTTTATTCAAAACAGAGTGGTATATATGTGGTAGACAAGGAAAATAAGTAAACTGCATTCATTTTAATACTATAGTTCCCCTCTGGGAAATGATGGAACAACTAAAATGAAACTATTTGAAATATTCTAATTTCTTTGTAACTTGGAAATAAATGCCAATCAGTCGTATCAACCTTTTCTTTGCTAAACTGAAAATTATAGTATATGTTATTTTGTAGTTTCGATCATATATATCATATGTCATCAGTAAGAACATTTGTTTAATGAATGCTCTTTTTTGACATTATGAGCAGCATTTCATTAAATAAAACTATAGACATATAAATAAATGGCTTTGCAGAGAACACTAAAGTCACAACATAGAATAAAAGATCCAGCACAATCACTTACCCCACAATATTTTTATCTGAATCATTTGTACTTGAAGCACCCGCTCTCAGCATTAGAAACACACTCTAGTTCTTCACTCTTCCATAGCTGCCCAGGACCTTCAAGTACCATACAACATACACTCTGATGACTAATTAATATATTCAGAGTTCTGTCATCAACAAATAACCTTGAAAATCAAATGAAGTGAAAATAGTTCCCCAAAGTTAAAAATATTCAACTATTTTGGGGTGATGTTGCCTGATGTCTTTCAGGGTTACTATAATATCCTCCAGCCCTCGGGCTAAAGGGGCGTGTGTGTGGTTTCACACTTTCCCACACAGAATATGGTGTACCCGCGGATGGTTGGCCTAAAATTGAGCAACCACCTGAAAAGGACAAAAACATGTCCGTGACTCATCAGCACACTGGGGCTGATTGGTTTCATCTACATCTGACCAATCTGTTATGAGGATAAATCCCTCTGGTATTCACTGAGCATAACTCTTTAGAACCCCATTTTGGAGATGTAGTGAGTGAGATACTATGATGAACATTCTTCCCACATCTATGTTTCTCATATGTAAAATTCACATTAAAGATATTATTCTGAAATAAAATACTGAAGAGAGGGTTGGAATTCATGCCAAGTGAACTGAACTACTATTTTCTAAAGAATAGTGTTTGCTGTCATGGTGCCTTTGTCACATTCTAGGTCCCTGAAGATAATTAAGTAATCTTAATGATCTTGAAGAACACAGCATTTTGAAGAACAAATTGAAACATTATAAGTATGTTTCAATAATTTAATACATGCTATAAATATGTTTGCCCACACTTCATGCATATAACCAACAAGTTGTCATACTGACTTTCCCCACGAGTGTGAGTGTGTGTGTGTGTGTATGTGAGTGTGTGTATGTGTGTGTGTGTGTGTGTTTCAAAAAAGTCCACAGGCCCTGTTCCTTTCCACGGCCCACTCCACCCTGGCCTCTTTACAAAAGGACAATATAAAAAGTAGACTAGAGCATATTACATTTCTATAGTATTGACTAGTGGCATAAATTATACAGAAAACAGAAAACTAACGGAAAGAAATCCTATCTCCAGGTCTGTTTCTCAAAGGTTACATATAAATTAAAAAGAGAGAACTGTTTCTTTGCAAGAGGTGAGCTAGAGTTCCTTTGAAAGCTTTTAAAAATAGAGTCCAGCTCATTTGAGGTTTGCAGTTGTACATAGATACACAACTTCATTTGTCTTGGACAATTTACTGCATTCACTTCGGGAAGGAACAGGAGATAGGGAGCTGCTTTGCCCCAGATTACATCCTGTTCAGTTGGGAGTTAGTGCAACACTGCCTCTCCCAGCACAGTTGCTGATGAAAGGGATCTGTTGAAAAGCACTGCGTTGGTTTACACTGCAGACCGAACAGCGCGTTACAGGGCTGCGTTAACGTGGCTGCAGCAGGGGTAAGGGTCGCCTCCGTGATGTACCCACCTTCACACAGGTGCGATCACCGTTCCCGCGTCCTTACCTAACCTGTCACGAGAGGTAGCTAGCGTCTCTCCAGTAATGCCCCATCCCCTCTTCTCCGAGTTTTGCCCCCTCCCAGCGAGTGTAAATGGATGAGACGTGTGGACTGTCAAACCGTCGCCCATGCCTGCGAAGCCTGGGATTACTGCAAATCGCTTGGAATGGCTCCTCCGAGGAGGCGTGAGCGAGCGCCCACCGACGCCGCTCAGACGGTGCGAAGGCGAGCACGCCGCTCACCCCGCGCCGCCCCTGCCGGTCTGGGGCTGTCATTTTCCAAACAGCCACCTCCTTTGCAAAAGTTAAAAATCAGTCCAAAGGAGCAGAATGCTGACTTCCTGACGGGGTTCTCTGTGTAGAGCTGCCAGATTGTGACCGATAAAGAGGAGAGAGGGAGGGAGGGGAGACAGAGGCGGGGGAGAGAGGGGGAGAAGAGAGAGACGGAGGGGGGAGGGGAGAAAGAAGGGGGGGGACAGACAGAGAGAGACAGAGAGAGACAGAGAGAGAGACAGAGAGAAACAGGGAGAGGGAGGGGGAGGGAGAAAGAAGACGGGTGGGGGGACAGACAGAGAGAGACAGAGAGAGAGACAGAGACAGAGAGAGAGACAGAGACAGAGAGAGACAGAGACAAAGAGAGTCAGGGAGAGAGGGAGAGGGAGAGGTGGGAGAGAGGGGGAGAGGGACAGGGAGACGGAGAGGGCCACGGGA